GTCGTCGTTCTGTTATGCTTCCAACTGCCTCTTCTGATCGATCTGCCCTAGTTTCTTCCCCCTCTCGAGATAGGGATTGTGGTTCTTATCCTCCTTCTGAGAAGGATACTCTCTTTTGTGATTTTTGTCATCGCCCTTGCCACACCCATGAGACTTGTTAGAAGTTGCATGGGCAACCATCTGGGGGTCGTGATGACCGTTCTGGTTCTTGAGGGGGTCGCTCCGAACAGTCTTGAGGCCGTGGGCCCAATGCCCGAGCCCATCATTCTGATACAGTTGAGCCACAGTCCATAGCTCCAATTGCTCCATCTGTTGATATCTTGGGGTTTTCTACTTCTGAGTTGAAGGTTGCTCTTCGCCACTTGCTAGACCGTCGGGCCTCTGGTTCATCTTCAGGTAATATTGCCCAGTCAGGTAACTTAGCTTCTTCTACAAGTGCTTTCCTCTATCATCAAACGTTACCTTGGATTATCGATTCTGGTGCTTCCGACCACATGTCTGGTTCTTCTGATTTGTTCTCCGCGTATACCCCTTCTTCAAGGTAGGATAAAGTTCACATTGCTAATGGTACTATTTCTTCTGTGTCTGGGAAAGGTTTAATTTATGCCACTACTTTTCTTCATTTATCTTCTGCCCTACATGTTTCCAATTTTAGTGTTAATCTTTTGTCTTTGAGTCATATTACTCGGGACTTAAATTGTAGTGTGACCTTTTTTTTCCTGATCATTGTCTGTTTCAGGACCTTATCACGAGGAAGATGATTGGCAGTGGTAGACACGAGAATGGTCTCTATATCTTGGATCAAGCTGATAAGCTGGCTCATTCATCCATTCAGTTTTCATCTACTAAGGAAGACATCTGGTTGTGGCACCGTCGTCTTGGGCATCCATCTTTTTTGTTACTTAAGCATCTTTTTCCCTCCCTCTGTTTTTTTTTTTTTTTTGAAAAATAATGTTTCTGAGTTTCATTGTGAGCCATGTCAACTTGGCAAACAACACATAATTTCTTTTGCTCCTTCTATTAATAAAAGTTTAGTTCCTTTTTCTTTGATTCATTCTGATGTAGGGTCCCTTTCGCTTTGTGTCTTTAAAGGGTCAAAGATGGTTTGTCACCTTTATTGATGATTATTCTAGGACCACCTGGGTGTATCTTATGAAGGACAAATGTGAGGTGTTTTCTGTGTTTCAAAATTTTCATAAAATGCTTTGCACTTAGTTTGGGGTAGTTGTCAAAATTCTGCGTTCTGATAATGGGGGAGAATACATTGATTCTAGCCTTGCCAACTATTTTTCCACTCATGGTATTATTCATCAAACTTCTTGTACTAATACCTCTCAACAAAATGGTGTTGCCGAGCATAAAAACCGGCATCTTCTTGATATTGCGCATTGTTTATCCTTTGAAATCCACGTTCCTCGATCCTATTGGGGGGAAGCAGTTCTCATTGCTGCTTTCCTCATCAATCGTCTTCCTACCCAGGTTCTTCATAAACAAAATCCTCTTCAGGTTTTGTTCGACTTGCAATCTTCTGCTGCCTTCTCCATTCCTCCCAAAACCTTTGGAGGATTCTCCACTGCTATCTTCTTCTTCTGATGAGTGTCCAGAATCCTCTCCTTCTGGTGAACCTCCAGGTAACTCAATTTTTTCTGATGTAGATGTTCCCATTGCTAAAAGGAAGGGGGTTAGGTCTTGTACTCAGCATCCTATTTCTCATTTTGTCTCCTACACTTATCTGTCTTCTTCCTATAAAGTTTTTTTGTCTAAAGTTTCTTCTGTAAGCCTTCCTTCCAATTTTCAGGATGCTTTTTCTACTCCTGAGTGGAAGCATGCCATGATGAAGGAGATGAGAGCGCTTGCTAAAAATGGCACTTGGGAATTGGCTATGTTACCTAAGGGCAAATGGCATGTTGGATGTAAGTGGTGTACACTGTAAAGTGCAAAGCTGATGGTTCAATTGAACGTCACAAGGCTAGATTGGTGGCCAAGGGTTTTACTCAAACTTATGAAGTAGACTACCAGGAGACATTTGCACTGGTTGCTAAAATGAATTCTGTCAGGGTCCTTTTCTCTCTTGCCTCTAATCTCGACTGGCCGCTCCATTAATTTGATGTTAAAAATGCTTTCCTCCATGGAGATATGGCAGAAAAAGTGTACATAGACATTCCCCTAGGCTTTAAGGATGTTAAAACCACAAGAAAGGTGTGCCGGTTACGCAAGTCACTTTATGGCCTTAAGCAGTCTCCTAGGGATTGGTTTGAGAGGTTTACTCAGGCCATGCTGAAATATGGTTTCAAATAGAGTCAAGCTGATCATACTTTGTTTGTGAAACACTCCTCACATGGTAAAATGACAGCCCTCATTGTCTATGTGGATGATATTGTACTCATAGGGGATGATGTTGAGGAGGTTCCTCGGTTAAAGGAGTATTTGGCTAATGTGTTTGGCTAATGAGTTTGGAATCAAAGACTTAGGCAACTTGAAGTACTTTCTAAGCATTGAGGTTGCTCAGTCCAAAGATGGTATCTTCATATGTCAACGAAAGTATGTGCTTGATTTGCTAAAAGAAACAGGAATGCTTGGAAATAAAGCATGTGATACACCACTAGAGCCCGGACTAAAGCTTAGTGAGGATCAAGGAGGCGTGCCGGTAGACAGGGGGAGATACTAGAGACTAGTGAGTAAGCTTATTTACTTATCCCATTTGCGGCCTGATATTGCTATTGCAGTGAGTATGGTTAGTCAATTTATGCATGCTCCACGTGCAACTCACTTAGAGGCGGTTATGTAGATTCTGAGGTACTTGAAATCTTTTGTGGGAAAGGGTCTTTATTTCTCAAAGCATGGTCATCTCAGTGTGGAGGCATATATAGATGCTGATTGGGCTGGCTCAGTAACTGACAGAAGATCCACCTCTGGCTATTGTACCTTTGTTGGAGAAAATCTAGTTACTTGGAGAAGCAAGAAACAAAATGTTATTGCGCGGTCTAGTGCAGAGGCCGAATTCAGAGCTATGACTCAAGGTGTGTGTGAGCTTTTATGGATTAGATTATTATTGTAGGATTTGGAGATTCATCAAATAAATTCTATGAGGCTATACTATGACAATAAGGCTGCCATTAATATAGGCCACAATCCGGTGCAGCATGATCGGACCAAGCATGTGGAGATTGATCGGCATTTTATCAAGGAAAAGCTTACTAGTGGCACTATATGTACGCCTTTCGTGTGGTCTGGGGATCAATTGGCTGATGTTCTTACCAAAGGATTAGGGATTAAACCATTTCGTGACATTCTCGACAAGCTGGGCATGAGAGATATCTTCGCACCAGCTTGAGGGGGAGTGTTAGAATGTGTTAGGATATTTCCTATTTTATTCTTGTTCAATTTCTTTATTTGCTGTAATGGGCCTTTATTTAGGCCTTAACTTATGTTTATGATTTAATATAAAAGGGTATAAGAAACCACTTATACCATAACTTTTTCTCTTCTAAAAATTAACAAAATACACTCAGATGCTTCACCAATTTACATTTAGTGGTGAATCTAATACTTGTCTTGTGGGGAAGAAAAGGTCTCACCATCCCCTATCCTAAACTACTTGTCTTACCTTTAAATTTATCTTTTAAACTGATTGTTTAGATTTTGTATATTAACAAAATTCAAAATTAAGAAAACCTGTATTAGTTGAAAAATTGGGAAGTAAATCATATTTTAACTTCTCTTATTTAAAAACAGAATTTTTTTGAATTGTTTCAATTCTAAAGACTTACATATTCATTAAACTGAGTGTTATTTAATTTCTATTTAATTTAATTTTTATTTTAGTATTATTTTTTTTCCATAATGGACAAATGGTGGGTGAGAAACTAAGAATTTGTTCCAAAAATACAAATATCACTATGTACATGGAATTAAACCATATAAAAGTACCAAGAATGTACACTTTAGCACGGTCGGGCCTATCAGAGGTATCCTTAGCCTCATTATTTTCTCCAGAGGTAAGCCCCATTGTGTATTATTTTTTTATTTTTTTGTGGTTTAATTCGGTGTACATAGACTTATTCTATCCGTCATTACATACAAGTATACATATATACCTCTGTGTGCAAGCATTCTCATTTACCTGGAAGTTATGATACACATTGACGTTCACATGGCCCACATAACCTGTATAAAATGGCTCCACCTCCTTTTGTAAGACTTGACTTGTGATGACTTTTGTTCTCCCACCCCCAAGTTTACTTTGGTAACTCTTTATAAAGCTAGCAACAAGAGAGCGATAAAAGTAATTCATCAGAGATCATGGCTAAAATAATCATATTTTTGTTCTGCTCATTTGTTTTCAGTGTGTGTTTAGCTCAAAATATGGCCCAAACTTCTGCTGAGGCGGCTGGATCTTCTTCCTTACCTCCATCATTTGGTCCCATGTTCTACCTCAATTCAAGTTTTTCCTCAATTTGGTACAATAATGATTCTAATGGTAAGAGTCTCGTCAGTGAAGACAACTCAACAATCGTGAGAGCAATTTTCTCAAGAAGGGGAAGTGTTGAGTTTGTTTGTGGATTCTACTACTTCGGTAATTGCACCTATTACTTGCTCTCAGTTGCCATTGTTGGTGGAGGCAATCACAGTGTAGGTTGGTCAGCAAATGTAGGCCATCCTGTGAAAGAAGACGCAACTATACAACTTACAGTAGATGGAGAATTGGTACTACGAAATTCGGATGTAGACCACGTATGTCAACCAATGCATTAGGCAAGTCCGTGGTGGGAATGAACATGGCGGAATTGGGAAATTTGGTTCTATTCAACAACAAATGAGCAATTGTTTGGCAGTCTTTTGATTACCCCATGAATACATTACTTGTTGGGCAGCGGTAATTTGAGGATCAAAAACTCATTTCAAGTTCATCAAACTTATGGGCTCGTGGTTTGTACTTTGCCACATTGAAATTGGCTACCGATTTTGCTACATACATAAGAGGCAAGGGTCAACCACAAATGTGTTATCAGTTGGTTCCAGTTCAAACCTCAATAACTAGCAGAGGCTCATACTATGCAGAGCTTCAACAAGGAGGTTTCCTTGTGAATATTGGTACATCTCAATCAATGTTTAAAGTAAATCCCATCAATTTTCCCTCCACTGTAAGCACTACATATATAAAACTAGGTAGTGATGGGCATTTGAAGATATTCCATCACAGTAATGCCAATGGGTGGAGGGAGATTGTTGATATGATTACCCACGATTTAGGTAAATGTCAACATCCTTGCCACTGTGGTGAATATGGCTTATGCAAAGAAGGCCAATGTAATTGTCCCATAGGCATGGATTGGGTTCGATATTTTGAGCAGACACACAGCCAAAATGGAAAACATCAACACCAGACTCAGCTTCAAATACCCTATATGGGTTGCTCTAGTATTACTTCCTTGTCTTGCCCACCTCTTGTTGACCAAAAGCACCATCTTATTGAAGTTAGAAATGTATGCTACTTCAACCTGATCGACGAAGATGCTGCATTTCCAAATATCAGTGACATAGAGAGATGCAAAGAGATCTATCTGCTAAATTGTTCCTGTGGTGCAGTCTTTTTGAGGTGCAACAATAATGTTTCAAACGGGTGTTGTTATATCCCATCCACAGTATTGACAATTAGAGAAGCGCAAATCCCAAACCACAGTTTTGCATCTGCAACATTTGTCAAGGTCCAAATTCCCTATAAGGCAGCAAACAGACAAGTAAAGGCACCGTGCCTGATACTTCTCAACATGCTTCACTTTCAAGAAATTGAAGAAATTTAAAAGCAATAATAGCATTGTCGTGTGCTGGTGCCCTTTTAACTTTTGTTGTTACAATTGTTACATGCTTTGTGATGCTGCGCCCAAGCTGCTCAGAGGATGGGGAGGACTGTATGAAGCAAGTTCCAGGAAGTCTAGTGAGGTTTTCAGATAGACAGCTATGTGTTGTAACAGAAGATTTTAAGGAAAGATTGTGAGGTGGAGCATTTGGAACTATGCTCAATGGGATGTTGAAAGATGGCACTCAAATTGCAGCGAAGAGTTCAGATAAATTGGGCCAAGGGATGAAGGAATTCTTTGCTAAAGTTGAGACACTTGGACACATACACCATGCTAATCTTGTGAGGTTGATTGGGTTTTTTGCGGAAAAAGCTTGCAGGCTTTTGGTATACAAGTATATGACTAATGGCTCTTTGGATAGCTAGATTTTTTGGAATAACCAGAGACCTTGCCTCAATTGGCAAGCTCGAAAGAAGATTATACTTCACATAGCCAAAGGGCTGGCTTACCCGCATGAAGAATGCCGGCGGAGAATAATTCACCTCAATATAAAGCCATAAAACATGCTCTTGGATGAAGATTTTAATGCCAAAAATCTTTGATTTTGGGTTATCCAAGTTGATAAGCAGAGACGAAAGCCATGTTCTGACCACAATGAGAGGAACTCCTGGATATATTGCTCCAGAGTGGCGACAAGCAAAAGTCACCATCAAAGCTGGTATTTATAGCTTTGGAATTATTCTTCTTGAGGTAGTTAGTGGCCGGAGAAACTTTGATAGCACACAATCAGAATCTAGAAAACATCTGCTTTAAGTGTTGCGGGAGAAGGTTGAGTATCAACTATATGGTAGAAAACATGGATGAAGAAGTCAAACAATATCATGTCGAGAAGGTGGTCAGGATGATAAAGATTGGGGCTTGGTGTTTGCAGAATGATCAGTCAAGAAGGCCTTCCATGTCTATTGTGGTTAAGGTTTTACAGGGATTGACAGAGGTGGATACAAACATCAACTACAACTTTACATATGCAACGACATCTTCTTCGACAGTCAACAAACATGCTTCCACGGCACCACCAGCTTCAGTTCTTTCTAATCCTTGATGAAAGCAGAAATTAAGGTAACCAAGTAACTTATGTAACTCGGTTCTGAATTTTGATTATTTGGACAAGTTGGACTAGATTACATGGTACTATTAGTCCATGATTAAATGTTCTTTGATTACCAATCCTTTAGGATTATGTGTTCTATCCCATGTCTGGAATGCTCTTGGATTAAGAAGCGATTAATAGAATCATATCATATCCCATGCTTATTTGAAATCACTAGGCATGGATTACATGGTGTAATGACTATAGTTTGAGGATATTTTGATATTTTAACCACTAAATCTAGGCTCCCGTCAGTCCCCCATTTTCGTATCCCACTGTCCTCGAGGGACTCAATTATTCTCAAATGGAGGATATACAGTTTGGGAGGTCTGTTAATCCAAAAGTCCACTTTTATATCTAAACGTGAAAATTTAGTATTGACTAGGATATATAATCCAGTCCCACACTCTTATTTCTCAAAACAAACACAATGAAGATTATAAGTTCTATAGCTACAACTTGTTTGGACCATCTGAGCCTTCTTAAAGTACATTTAAATGAGAAAAGTTGCAGATGTAGGACGAGTAGAGACAACGTTGGATTTTGAAAGTAGAGGTTATTTGATGGCCTAAACAATGAGTAATTTAGGATTTTAAGGGTTAAATTGAAGGCTAATAGGTATATAGCGACCAATCCTTAATATCTTATATTTATTTATGAGGTTTCATTACTTTGGTAACCTCTTGGTCATAAATGGAGGTTAAATAGAATTCATGAACTTGGTTAATGGTCATTATTTTGGTGTAACCATTTTCTTAGTTAATGGTCATTATTTTGGTGTAACCATTTTCTTATTTCATGGTCATTATTTTTGGTGTAACTATAAGGTCCTAATGGCTTGTTATATATCAGTAGGCAGCAGTGGGTTAAACATCATTTTTTTTCATCATCTTTTCTTTTGAAACCCTAGAGCCGACTCTCTCTCTGTCTAAACTTGTCTTCTCTCTAAGAATTGATCTACCTAGGGTGAGTATCTAACCTCAGTCCTTTATTAAAAAGATAGAGTGGGTTGAGGGCTTCGTTTTAATTTGAGAAACTTGGGATTTGGAGCACGTTGGTCTTTGGTCATCATCTCCGTTTGAGTTCCTCACTTCGAGGTAGGGATACCTACTCCATCTTATAGGTTTTGACATAAGTTTTGGTCATTTTGATATGTTGGCGTTGTTGGGTGATTTTGGAAAAAGTTAGGATTTGGTTTGTAATTTAAGCGAAAGGGGGGTTTTCCATATATTAAACTCCATGTGTTAGTAAGACTTGAAAAATGACATAGATAGTGTCAAATAGAGAAAATTGAACCTTAGGGTTGATTTTGATGAAAGGGGGAAAATGCCCGAATTGTTGTAGTAAATTAATTGATATAATTAATTTGCGAAAAATGTGGGTTTTAGTTGAAATCCATGAAATTGGGAAATTGTTGATTGAATGGTGTGGTTGGATTAATTTATCACCCACTTATATAAATGTTGATATTATATCCGTTTAGTGCATTTATTTTCTGTTTAGAAATAACTGTTTTGGGCTATTGGTGGAGGATAGTCGTGATTGTTGTAGACATTGCACGTGGATTAGGGAAAACGGAAACTAATCACATTGAACGGGCCATTGAATATGACAGTTGAATTAATACAGCACATACGTGTATTGATTGAATATTGTATATGACAAGTGTTAAATACATTGTATATGCATATTGTTTGGGAGGAGATAGGGGATGTACTCCATGGTTTGAGGGACGATAGGGGATGGACTCTCAAACCTGTTTGGGAGGAAAAAGGGAATGGACTCCATTAGTACGGCAAATATGTGTACTTATTGATGTATGGAAGTATTTTAGTACAGCAAATATGTGTACTTATCGATTTATGGAAGTGTTTTATTATGAGCCTTAGCCTCATTTAATTGTTGATATTGGAAGTAATTTTAATATGAGATCTAGTCTCATTATATTGTTTGGCCAGGTTCTGAGCCATGTTTGTATAAAATGGAAAATTGGGTAAATAATGGAAAGTGAAACGTATCATGGACATAGTGGTCTTGAAACTGTATTGTGATGTAATTGAATTATAAGAGTAACCATCTATTGAATGCTATTGCTTTAGTCAATGCTTATATATGGTTTAGTATATCTCTGCTGGGCTGTGGCTCACCCTATATGGAAACATTATTTTCTGGTCCAGGTGATATGCTACCTCCAAGGACTTAGCTTGGGAGGATTTGGAGTTGAAGACTCTTTTTAGTTATTTTTGTCATTTTGATATTACATGTAAATTCAAGCCAAGGGCTTAATCTGTAGTTGAGTTAGTACTCATTTCTTTTGTGTCCAAGTGTTGGCTTGGAAAGATGTTTTAAGAATACTCTGATGAATGGAAGAATATTTGTTTCTTTTTGTCAATACATGTTAATATTATTTATTATGGGTTTAATTTGAGGGCGTCACAAGGTAGATAAAGGGATTAGGATTGATTTGGGGGTGATTGGATGGGGTTTTGAGGTTGAAAAGCGCACTTTTAGAAGGCTGTGAATAGTAATATGAAAATAGTAAATTGGGGAAAAAAAAGAAAAAAGAAAAAAAATGGAAGAGAATGAAGAAGATAGGTTTAGGAATAACTCCTAAAATCCTTAAGCATGACACCTAAGGTTTGATTGCATCACATAATCCATGAAGAAGCTTCAAAAGCTTTTAAAATTCTCTAAAATATTAACTCTATTAAATTATCGGATTTAGTACACTTTCTATCCCTGAACTATTGTCAAATTGTCAATTTAGTCCCCAAACTATTGATTGAGTCTACTAAATCCCTAACGTATATGAATCAAAATCTATTTAGTCTCTAAACTATCGATTAAATCTATTAAATCCCTAAAATATTTAATTTAAACCTATTTAGTCCCTGAAAGAATTATAAAATTAAAATATATGCCCGTAAGTATTATAAATTTGTAAGAGATCCTAACTAATTAAAATTTTAAACCAAACCAAACTAAACCAAGCTTTAAGTCCAAATGGGGCCTAACTAATTAAAATTTTATTACAAAAAAATTTAAAATTTTTATTGTCTTTAAAAAGTGTTTTATTTCGTTGTTTGTTTAAATTAGTATTAGAGTCTGATTTCTCAATATTGCCAATAAAATTGTATGAGTATTAGATATACTAAAAAAGTAGAATTAGATAGTTTAAATCTAAGAAGCACGGACACTTCTAAAAAGGTGACGTGTCCGTGTCGAACACCAATACTCTTTGGACACTCTTAGGACACGTGTCCGACACTCTTCAAAACGTCTCCTATTTTTTAAATATTTTTAAAAACTCGGACACTCTTTGGACACTTGGAGGACACACGTGTCGATCACTTAAACATGCATGCCTATCGATTAGACACATGTGAAACTAATTATAAGGTTGAACAAAACAACTTGAGATACAATAATAAAACAAAAATCATATAAATTTATAGGAATTAGTATCATATTGCATTTTTTATTATCTCTGAATGATATATTTATATATATAACATATAATAAATATATAAAATTATATATTTCTTGCGTGTCCCCCACGTGTTGTGTCCTATATTTTTTGAAAATTAACGTGTCAGCGTGTCCATATCCGTGCTTCTTAAGTTTAAATAATAACATTTTGTTACAAATAATAATAGAAAAAAAATATTAATTAAATTATATAAAAAAAACTTAGCGAAAAACTTAAAAACAATCAATTAGAAATTATTTCTGACATATAATACTAGATAAAGGTAAGCACACGTAGTCATTTTACAATATAAGTAAAAAAATACTATAGATAATTACCTTTACCCTTATAAAGGAAATTCACCACAAAAGCTCACACCTACTT